ATCAATTGTGGCGAGTCGTATTATATCCCTGAAATTTAGGTATGGTCAAAAAAATAAAGGCCTGCTATCATCACAGCTGGAATAAACGCAGCAAATATGTATACCACAGGGACCCTCCACATATCCTGAAATTTAGGTAAATAAGCTGGTCATTTAGTCTGACCATTTTTATGAGCAATGATAATAACTAAATATGCACTGTGGTTTTCCAGCTTTTTTCCTACAAAGCCACCTAAACAAAATGTGAAGTTTCATTTAAGCCATACATAGTGGAACTCTATCTTGTCATTCATAAATTGAGAATATATCCCTCTCAATTATGTCATTATAACATATTGCAAAGTTACAATTCTCTAAAATATAGGTTCAAAGAAAAGGAACACATGGCCTTCAGAAAAAGACTGCTTAATACAGATGCAGTATTGTGATTAGGTTCTAATTTCTTATATGGAATTGAAACAAGCAAAGGGCCACTGAGAAATAAACAGAAAAAAATATTATTTTGCCAGAATGTTTTTACCTTGATTACTGTCCAATGGTATAATGAGTCTGAATCCCAAGGAAGAGGACTAAAAAGCCTCCTAGGAACTCCAGAAGGAACTTTGCTTGGTACACTGAATGATAATGCCGTCCAAACCAATACCATCAAAGGAACACCATAGTCCGCAATGAAACTTCTAAGCCACCCTAAATTCAGTGGGAGAAATTCAGGTTGGCATGCATGTCACATTGAGTAGAAAAAAGAGAATATCATCTTTCCCTGTGCTATTAAAAGTCTCTCACAAATCACTTCACAAACCTGTGCCATATCGCCATGACCTTGCCCTCCTGCTTTTTAAAGCTGTATAGAGTAAACCAAAGGAGAATATGAGCCCCAGTAATCCATTTGCATAAAGCCACTGGAACTGGTACTTTTCTTCCTTTGGGTCTTCAGCTTTGGGTATCTTGAATTCACTCACCACTCCCTGTGAATCAAGCATTATAGAGTGTCAGGCTGTCAGCATCAATTTTTATTCTGCAGATGTGCTAAMCTCTTAGTTTCTTTTRTTATAGATTGAAYAGAYACCTTGATAGCCTCTTGGATGAAAAGAACAGCAATTAACATGCCAAAAAGCTCCCCTGCAATCCTCGTAAATCTAGTGATAACAGTGCAAGCATTGAATATGGCTAGAAGAAACAACATAAGTGCTGTCCAGATGCAAACCCTGCAAAGAGAGATTATGTTAGTAAATTTAATATGTTAGATAAAAATCAAGGAATCTCAAACGTGGAATTATGAAGAAGTTGCTTCATGTTACCATCCTGCCCAAGCCAAGTACAGTTCTTTTCCCAAATCTTCCCTTTGGTAAAATTGTACAAATAAGTGTACATTATAACAGTGGGCTCTGCAACTCCAAGTATCAATAAGGGCTGTCCACCAAATATTGAGTGTAAGATACCACAAATAGCAGTAGAAGCTAAAGTTTCTACCGTGGTCAAGCTTCCATCTAAAGACAAAAAACATACAATCAAATGCAATTTAAAAACTCAAAAAAAAAAAAAAAAAACAGCAATGACTTGTTAGTTCAGAGCTAAACTTGAAATAGTTTATTCAGATCACACATTCCATGAAGAAGAAGAAAAATAAAGGATATGGCACTGAATAGAACGGAACGGTTAGACAGGATTCATGTAGCCGATCCCAGATAGATGGGACAAGTCTTGGATGATAATAATGATGACATCCTATGAAGAAAATGAAATATAAGCAGAAGCCAACCTGTTTCTCTACTCAATTGCTCCCCAAAGGCAATAACTGGAAGAGCCGAAGCGAAGAAAATATAGGTAATTGGAGCCAATATCCTGACACAAAAGAACAGCATTTGAATTTAAGTTGTAAAGCCCCTCTGCCTGTGATAAGAATTACATTACTACTCGGTTTCAATCAAACAAAAAACTACCTGACGCCTGAACGAAGTCYACTAATCCAATCTTGCTTATAGCATGGTGTCCTTCCTTTTACATCTTTAATAATCCCTCTGAATGGAAATTTGATGTTATCCATCGCTGAAGAAAAAAACAAGAATATCAGATAAGGCGCCTTAGAGAACAGATAGAATAAAAAATCCACAGAGGTGTCTCCTGAATCGTTGAAAACTAGAAGAAGTCATAGACCCATAGTCCTTAAGAATCATGAGTATAGAATCTGTATGAATAAAAAACGAACTAGAACAAAAAGGAGAAATTAGGGAGAGAAAACTCTCTTGACGTCTAAAAAAGGATAAAAAAAGCACCCTCGAAGAAGAATTTAGTAGCCTTTCAAGCTCCATGAACAATCAAAAGAACCTTCAGAAAGACTCACGGCATGTATACAACGAACTTTAAAGAAGAACATAAAAAACCAATGAAGTTAGTAGATATGGAGAGAGAGAGAGAGAGAACAAAGAAACGATGATAAATCGCTCACTCAAGTACTTCATGCACATAAGAAGGAATTTGAAAAGGCTGTTCGTCCATGAAAAACAGGACGAAAGCTCCATAAACAGGAACAGAACATCAAGGATTTGTTTTCTTAAACTAATCAATCAGTCTGCAGTAAAGTGCCCGGAACAAATCCGAGAATGGTCCACAAATCCGAGACCGGAAAAAAAAATAAGAAGACGGTTGGACAGTTCTATAAATCTCGAAAAACAAAAAGAAACTAACGGAGAACCTACGTTCTACATCGACAAAACCATAATGCAATATATTTCGACGAAAGAAACGCCAATAGAAACACCCATGCACTTAGTAGCTCGATTCCGGATCCATTAGTCGAGAAAACAAAACCAACAAAACCACAAAACACAAACACATTACAGAAATAAATATATATGATAGAAGAAGAATCGAAACCCTACCGGATCCTCGGATGCCAAGCCTCTCCGTGTCTATCGCTAAGAAAGGAGAAGCAAAATCTCTGTGTTTCTCACTGGAGGCTCATGACAAAAACAGAGGACAAGAGAAAAACCAAAAACAGTACCCCGAGACGAAGAAGCCAAAGAAGAGATTCGTGCGTACAGCTTCTCCCGCCAGAAAGCCTTACGAAACTCTCAAACTCGCCGGCGGTAGCAGTGGCAAGGCCGGAAATTTTCACCAGAGAAAAAATAAGACCAGAGGAGAGAGTGTTTTTCTCCTCTTAGGTACGTCCTTCGCAGTCTGTCGAGCGTCGAACGATCGA